CTATCTATATGAGATCCAAGTGACAAAAGCAACTTGAAAGATTAGATAGGAACTTGCAGGCAGTGAATTTGCATCTCAGAAAGGGAGGGAGGAGAATGGCTGCAATGTCACTAAGCTATACATGTAGACACTTGAAATGGAGCAGGTTTTTGCTGTTTATATTTTCAACAAAAAAATTGAAATAAAATATGGAGAGGAAAAAAAAGAGAAGACAAAAATTCCTAACTTTAGTGAAGGCAGTAAGATATCCCCTTATAAATGTAGTGAAAACCAGTCTAAAGCATGGGTTGAGAAGGAGAGCTTCAAAGGGGTTGAGAAGGCAATTGTCCATGCTTGATGGAACTCTTCTGATCAACCATCCTCTAATCTTGCCGTATCTCTCAAGAAAGAGTAATTTCTACAAATTTTATCAGATGCCTTCATTCCAGCATTCCATGATTATGCTTTTACTATTATTACTGACTTTGTTTCTTTTGTTTTTTAAATCACATTTCCCTCAAATTCTACTCTTTATTCAGCCCAGCCCTACTGCTGATCACTTGCCTTGTAGTGGACTAACTGGAAATGAAACAAAAGGAAATGGCCTCAAGGCCCTATCTCCTTCTCAGAAATTACATTTTCTTACCCAGGTCTTTCCGACGTTTAAATTCATTGATGTTGACATTGATTTCCTTAGCTGCAAGGACTGCGTTGGCTAAAGGCACTTTGTCTGGGTGGGATTCTGGGGTGGTGTTGAGTAATTCCATCAGCAGCAGTGGGTAACGCATTACTCTCTGCACTGGTTTGATCAGGAAGGAGCCCAAGTTAATGTAATTTGTGCATCCCCTATAAGAGAAGGGGGTGGAAGGAATAGAGAGAGAGACTTTCTTTAATAAATTGCCAATAGTTAAATAAATAATACAGTGCCACTGAGTTTGTTGTTGTTGTTGTTAAGTGCTGTCAAATTGGTTATGATTCATAGCAACTCTGTATAGGGTTTCCAAAGAGTGGCTGGTGAGCTTGAACCACCGACGTTGTGGTTCAAACAACACTGCAGTCCAGCGCATTAACCTACAGTGCCACAGTTGACTATGTTATTCCAAATATGGTTCTTTTACCCCCCTTTCATTCATTTAACACATATTTATTTATTTGTTGTTGCTGTTAAGGGCC